TCCAGACTTTGAGCCCTCTGATTTGTCAATATCTCCTCAGGTAACAAAGGGCCGGAACTAAACACAATAGCTGTTCAGAGAGGCTCCTTCGCCTATCTTGAATCTGGTGTCATAATGTCCTATTATAGTTTTATGTCATGACTTTGTGCAAATTAGTATGCTGCAAAAGTCACTGTTCAATCAATTCCTCCCCTCCCGTCTCTCTAACACCCACACCATACAATTAAAGCACATGGCTCCCCCAAAAGACTATCGGGAACTGTTTACCGCTCACCGAGCTACAGTTCCAAGCAACTTGAACAAATTGCCATTCCCAGGATTATTGGGGGGGAAGTCATGACCTTTAAAAGTCCTTTAAATGTATGTTGTGGACATGAACTATCCTTTTTATTCCACTTAAATGCTCATTCTGCAAGATGCGGAGGATGCCCCACCTCTTACAGGATTAGGGGGCACATTTAAAGCACATTAAAGCATGCAGGATTCGCACACCCCTCCTGAGAATCTTGAGAACTTGTTTACCCCTCAAAGAGCTACAATTCCCAGCACTCTTAAACTATACTTCCTATGATTCTTTGGGAGGGAAAATGAACTTTAAATGTTTGGTGTGTACTTAGCCTAGATCGAGCTGAATATAAAAGCTTATATGACTCCTTATGAAACACACATTATTTTTCTCTTATAATCACAGTTGGGGTTTCTCTCTCTTTATTTTAATGTAATAATCTAGTGCCTCATTGGTTCCAGAGTTCTGCACATTATTACATGTGCATTAGCAGCTCATAATGTGATGGCATAAAAACATCAAACCATACGGACAACACTTTTTCTTAAAGTGTTGTTATTAAAAGATTTTCATGGATACCAAAGGTACATTTAACGTCTCTCTTTTCAGTTCACAGAGTCCTTTCTATGTGTCAGTAACATTTGATGTGAGACATTGCTGTCCTGTGCATGGTGGTGAGGTTGGGGGGAGAGAGAAGTGGGGGGAGAGAGGAGAGAGAAAGAAAACGTGGGGTGGGGGATAGTAGCCCTAAATAGGCAACACTTTTGTTAATGGTGTTGTCTTAAAGGATTGCTCTGTACATCAGATCTACTATTGCCCTTCTAATCAAAATATTATTGGGAAATTTTGAAGAACATACGTTGCTTTCTCATTTTGAATTTGCAATGGCTAAATGTTTATTGGGATACATTTTAACACATAAACAACAATGAATACATACTGACCACACATCTGCAAGGTGGAAAAGGACAACACACTGCTACAATTTCATGGACTGCAAAACTGGAGGGACATTGTTCATGCCCAGGGGTTGACTCATCAAATGAAGGAATTCCCTCAATGAATTCTGGGCACTCTAGTTTATCTTTTACAGAGTTAAAATTCCTAGCAAATCTTAACAGACCACAGTTCCCAGAATTATTTGAGGGAAAGCATGTGATTCAAGCATGTGATTCAAGATATAGCGTGAATACAGCCTAGATGAGATTCCTGCATTGCAAGGCGTTGGACTAGATGACCCTCGGGATCCCTTCCAACTCTACAGTTCTACAATTTTATGACAAGTGACTCTGAGGGAAGGGTGAGTGTGTTGGTCTCACTGCAGAAAATTGATAAGCATGTTCTCTTGAGTCATCTTGAGGATATTTGCTTTGCAAACAGCTCTCTGCAGCATAAATGAGCCCCACATTGCAGGCTGGGTGTGTGTGTGTGTGGGGGGGGGGAGTTGGATCTTTATGGGACTGACAGAAAAATAATCTGCCTCACGTCAGATGCAGTTTACTATTTCATGCCAGATAACTGATTCCGTGAACACTTAATTTTCACTCCATACTGTATTGTGTCACTTCCCACATCAGAAAAATCTTTACCGGCCAAGACAGAAATGGGTTGAATGTGCTTTAGCACTGAATATGTACAGTTTATCTTATCATCCCATCCGTACTGCTGTATTCTAGTAATGCTTTCTAGAGTGTGGTTTAAATAGGTCAGGTATTTATCTATTTTTTAAATCTTGCCTTTCCTCAAGATGGCTCAATGCTACATACAATCTGGGGTGCCCAAACGTTGTTACAAAGAGGGCCACATTTGATGAAGTGAACATGCGTGGGGTCCGACCAAAGTTGTTGAGGTTTTTTTTTAGATTTTTTACAATTTTACCCCAGAGTTGTCCAGCTTCTTTTTTGGGTTGAAGTTTCTGAGCTTTTTAAAGGATTTTACCCCAGGACATATACTGCCACAGGGGCTGGATTAAATTGACCGAAAGGCTGGATTAGGCCCCCAAAACAGACTTTGGACATGCCTGTATGGTGCTCCCTTTCACAACAAATTTAAGGTGAAAAACAGTGGCCAGCCCAAGTGAGTTTCACGGCTGAGTAGGGATTTGAATTCAGGCCTCACTGATCTTAGTCATACACTCTAAAATCCTGTATCCCACTGAATCTACTAGGTCTTTCTAATGCATGGGTAGGCAACCTAAGGCCTGGGGCTGGATCTGGCCCAATTGCCTTCTAAATCCAGCCAGTGGACGGTCCGGGAATCAGCGTGTTTTTACATGAGTAGAATGTGCCCTTTTATTTAAAATGCATCTCTGGGTTATTTGTGGGACATAGGAATTTGTTCATTATTATTATTTTTCAAAATATAGTCCGGCCCTCCACAAGGTCTGAGGTACAGTGTACCGGCCCCTTGCTGAAAAAGTTTGCTGACCCCTGTTCTAATGCCTCCATTGAGTTAGTGCCCCAATTCACACTAATACAGCAACTTACATACACATGACTGTATACAATAATTTCCTTTGCTCTGTTGTGGACTAAATAGTTGGTGCTGAATGGGCAGGAGGTGGGGAGAAGGCAGAACAGGTTTAAAAATTTTGAGAAAGATGGCTTCACAATATCGAACTCCCTGCATATAGTTCTTCCAAGAAGCAGGCAGAAGCAGAAAGAGATTAAACCAAAGCCTTCTGAAATCATTTTCACACCCTTCTCTCCATACATGCAGAGTTGTGGGAATTGTCACATACGACAATCTATACATAGGTTGAATGTCATTTCTTACATGGATGTGCCTGAAACTTTGTAATGAGAAGCAGCCAGTCTATCAGTGATTCACCAAGAACCCTTTGGCTTTCTATACTTTATCTAGCTGCAACCTTCCGCCTTTGCTAGAAAGACAGGGCAATTTTTCAGCACACAATCGATGAGTTTCCTTTCCAAACAGGTTTTTGAGCTCTGTGCTGCACTGAACAATCATGCTGAAGTAAATAAATGACTGATTCAATTATCTAGTCAGGGGGAAGGTATGCTGATTAAACCAAAAGCATTAATTTGATCTACAACCTCATGTTGTTTGAGAAACACTGCAATCCTAAACAGACAAAAAGTCCAATTTCACTCAAAAGAGCTTACTCTCCCCCAAAACTGTGTTTAGAATTGCAGGTTTATCCACATATAAGCATGTATAGATTGCAACCTTATGCTGCAGTGCTATTGTCCAATTACCGAGGAGTAAGTCCCATTGACCCTGCCAACCTAGCAGTTTGAAAGCACAAAGTGTAAGTAGATAAATAGGTACTGCTCTGGTGGGAAGGTAAATGGCGTTTCCGTGCGCTGCTCTGGTTCGCCAGAAGTGGCTTAGTCATGCTGGCCACATGACCCGGAAGCTGTATGCTGGCTCCCTCAGCCAATAAAGTGAGATGAGTGTCGCAGCCCCAGAGCCGTCTGCGACAGGACCTAACGGTCAGGGGTCCCTTTACCTTTATGCCCCATTGAATTCAGTAGGATTTGCTTCTGAGTAGACATGTGTTATCAATGCCAAATCCACAACAGTGGAGATGTTTACAGCTACCCATAATAAGCTGAGGTAATAACAGTGTTAAACTTTATTGGGTTATAACTTAAGTTTCTATTATCACTACCAAATCTTTATCTGAAGTTTATATCATAGTAAACTGTGTCCATGTTAAAAAAGAACTGTTTTCACATAATGCAGGTGCAACCATGTCATTGGTTTTGGAGAGTCATTGGGCTTATACAGTATATACTTTTTTAATACTCAGGATAGGCTCCAATGGGAAGAAATGATTATTAATTATTTTAAAACAAGTCCCTTTTTATTTTATTAAATAGCTCAACACAGAAGATGCTTCAAGTGGTTTCCCCAAATTCAGCTGAATTGCAACTTATAATGGCTTCCCCAGTCAGTGGCGGAGGAACCGTCTCCGGCATCTGGGGTGGGACACTGAGGGGTGGGGAGAACTGGCAGGCAGTGCATGTGCGGCAGCTGTACGGTCGCCTTGCGAGCAGCAGCCCATATGGACACCTGTATGAATGGCACACGTGGGGGGCAGCCCGTACAGACACCGCCTGAGCGGCGTCCATGCTGACTGCGCGCACCTCCTAGGCCGCTCTACAGCTGGGGGGCCCCAGCAGGCCATCTTGTCACCCCCCCCGGGTGGTACTAGGGGCGACCCGCCCCCTTAATACGCCCCCGTCTCCAGTCTATTACAGTTATACCTCGGGTTACAGACGCTTCAGGTTGCGTGTTTTCGGGTTGTGCACCACACCAAATCTGGAAGTACCGGAACAGGTTACTTTTGGGTTTTGGTGCTCGCACTTGTGCAGAAGCACTAAATCGCGCTTTGCGCGTGCGCAGAAGCGCTGAATCGCAACCCGCGTGTGCGAAGATGCGGTGCTGCGGGTTGCGAACGCTGTGGGTTGCGAACGTGCCTCCCACATGGATCACGTTCACAACCCGAGCATCCACTGTATTCAACCCCCTGAACAGAATCCCTCACAATAGCACAAAAACAGGTTTTCTCAAGCACACCTGATGCAACTAATCAACTAATCAATATTTTTTTGGGGGAGGTGAAGGGACCTCGGCCCTTAGGAGTTGGCTCCCATACATGGAAAATCTGACCCAAGGAAATGCAGCTGTCAGGATGAAAAATGACCCCCCACGATTTATGGCATGGCTTTCTCTGGTGTCATTACAGATAAGGAGTGAGCTGTACATACTAACAAGCAAAGGGGAAATGGCTGCTGAGCTGCACCCGCCATTGTGAGGCCTGAGGAGGTGATGATGATGGTGCCTCTCCAGCTGCTGTGATTGGCTGTGGACGCCCTGTGATGTCACAAAAGCACATGGCAACTCAGTGGATATACAAAAGCGGCCCAAAGGGAAAGCCAAGGCAAAAGCTTGAAGAGGACACAGTGGACAACAGCTGTGTTATTCAGTACTTGGTGGTCTCCTTCCACATGGAGGCAAAGTGGCAAATGGAAGGGGGCCATCATCCGTTAATGAGATGCTGTGGAGCAACAGGAAGGCAGGTGTACCTGCTGAGCAGGACCGTGGCTTGAAAGCGGCAGATATCCATGGTTGGAACTTAGTGATGGACCTGGCAGAAGCTGGTAGGTGTTGGTGGATGGAAGCTGTGATTAGTATGTGGATGCCCGGGATGCCGCAGGGCTGAAGGAGGCTGAAGTTTGTGTATGTAAACTGATAGAAATTCACCTTCAAAAGGCTGTTGACAAAAGCTGTGTGGATATTTGTGGATTGATGCTGGTGTAAGTATGACTGGAGAGTGGACATAGGTCACCCACCAGATATGGTATGACTGGGAATTGCATGTTCAGATCAGTGGCGTAGCGTGGGTTGTCAGCACCCGGGGCAAGGCAAGTAATTTGCGCCCCCTAACCCGTGGATTTGCGCCCCCTAACCCGTGGATTTGCGCCCCCTAACCCGTGGATTTGCCCTAACCCCAGATATTGCGCCCGGTGCGGCTGGCCCCCCCTGCACCCCCCACGCTACGCCACTGGTTCAGATAGCGGTGTAGGCTGCCCTCCAGGCTCTGGGTGAATGAACCACTGGATATTCATGGGTGGAAGCCAGTGAGGTTGGCAGGCTAGCCAGTGGAGGTGGCTGGATGATAACTGTTGAATGAGGGCCATTCCCCTCACCGTATCTGTGTTTGCCTTTCATGGATGTCAGAAGCCGATGAGGCTTTCCCTGAAAGCACAATGAAGAGGACAGCAGAGCTTAAGCAAGCCATCTTCTACTTCTAAATCAATGTATTTCTAAATACATCTAAGTAACGTTCATGACATTCCCCTTTCCAGTACCAGGATGGGAGGATGTGCAGATGCGTCCCCAGCAGTTGCCACTGGCTACAAACTTCCTGTGATGTCACAAATGGACAGGGTGGCTGAGGGGAAAAAAGGCAGTTACTAGTGGAAGGTGATTCCACTACTAGTGGAAGAAGGGAGAAAGCCCAGTAGGCAGGCAGGGCCAACTGGATATGCAGAAGTTGAATATGGGCTGTCTCCCTTCCGTCTACTTGCGTTGCCAACGTTTTGTTCTCTCAGGCTCCTGTACCCGTCTCGCCTAGACTTCTTGGCAGAGCCCCAGCCCTTTAACGGTTCCTGCATTTCTGCAGAGAGCCAAAAACTGTGGGAAATAATAATAAAAAACAACAACCCTGCCTGGCGTCCCCGCGCCCACTGGACCATGGAAGTCCCATTTGTTGAATATGATAAGGAAAGAGGAGGAAGTTAAAGGCATACTAGTTGGAACTAAACAATATAAGTTAAAAGCCTTTGCTGATGATTTGGTATTGACTTTACAGGACCCTGAGACCAGTGCAACCAAAGCACTGAAGATAATTCAAGAGTTCGGACAAGTTGCAGGTGTCAAATTGAATAAGAATAAAACCAAAGTTTTAGAAAAAAAATTAACGATACCTGAAAAACTTAATTTAGAGGAAACCACAGGGCTGAAGTTTGTGAAAAAGGTGAAATATCTGGGTGTAAATATGACTGCAAAAAAATTGAATTTGTACAAAGATAACTATGAAAAGTTATGGAAAGATATCAAGAGAGATTTGGCTATCTGGACAAGGTTGAAACTATCTTTGTTGGGCCGAATTTCTGCGATAAAGATGAATGTATTGCCTAAGTTGTTATTTTTGTTCCAAGTACTTCCTATCATTGATAAGCTGAATTGTTTTAAGGAATGGCAAAAGGTATTATCTAAATTTATCTGGCAGGAGAAAAAACCCAGAATTAAGTTTAAATTATTAACAGATGTGAAAGAGAGAGGGGGTTTCTCCCTGCCAGATTTTAGGATCTGTTTTGAAGCTGCAGCCTTTTGCTGGTTGAAAGAATGGTTTTTATTGGAAGCTACTGATGTTCTAGATTTGGAAGGGTTTGATAATGTATTTGGTTGGCATGCATATTTATGGTATGACAAGATAAAAGCTCACAAATGATTTAAAAATCATATAATTAGAAAATCTTTGTACAATGTTTGGATAAGATACAGGGATTTGTTAGAAAGGAAAACACCCAAGTGGATATCACCATTGGAAGCTAAGACCTATAAAAGGTTGAATATGAAAGATACGTGGTTGAAGTATAATGATATTTTGATGAAAGTAGGGGACCAATTTAGATTAAAACCTTATGATCAGTTGAAAGATAAATTAGATGATTGGTTCCAGTACATCCAGATAAACGAGGTGTTTAAAATGGATAAGAAAATCGGTTTTCAAACAGAGAAATCCAAACTGGAAACAGAATTACCAGATACAAAAACAAAAACCTATCTAAGATGTATAATTTATAGCTGGAATGGCATACGAAAGATGAACAAGTGAAATCTGTAATGATTGAATGGGCCAGGGATGTGGGGCACAATATCATGATGGTGGATTGGGAGAAATTATGGAAAAAGGGAATCAAATTTACAGCTTGTAATGTATTAAGAGAAAATTTGATGAAAATTATGTACAGATGGTATTTAACACCAGTGAAGTTAGCAAAAATGTATCATACTCATGATAATAAATGCTGGAAATGTAGAGAAAAAGAAGGAACCTTTTACCACATGTGGTGGATGTGCCCCAAGGTAAAAGACTTCTGGGAAAGGATTTATAATGAATTGAAAAAAGCGTTGAAAAACACATTTATTAAAAAACCAGAAGCCTTTTTACTTGGTATAGTGGGGGTGAAATCCCCAAAAAGGATGTTACTTTTTTTCTGCATGCCACAACAGCTGTGAGAATATTGTTAGCGAAGAATTGGAAGAAACAAGATTTACCAACTATCGAAGAATGGCAGATGAAGATGATGGACTATATGGAACTTGCCGAACTGACCGGGAGACTCCAAGACCAGAGAGAAGAGACGGTGGAATAAGACTGGAAGAAGTGTAAGGAATATTTGAAAAAATATGTTAATACTTAAACCTTAGAATAGCTTTGGAAGTGACTATAGGCAGTAGGGTTAGAAATAGAAGACAGGGTATTTTAAAATAGTATTATTTATAAGTGATAAAATGTGAAGTTAATTTAAGTGTGATTAAAAAAAAGATGGTTAGAAATTATGATATATGTAAACTGCTAAAGATGAAGTAAAATGAAAATCAGATAGGTGGGACTTGGGGAAGCCCGCTTAACAATGTTTAGAAAAATAAGGATATGACGAGAATTTTTCATATTGTTTATCTTTACTGTTTTGTGTTTTTTATTTGTGTTATAAAATGAATAACATTTTTTTTGGGGGGGGGAAGTCCCATTTGACCTCCTCAGATATCGTGTCCCACTGATGGATTTGCTGCAAACTTGCTGCAGTATTTGTTTGCAATATAACGTTTGCAATGGAGATTTTATTTCTCTGGCCATCTGATTCCCTTAATTATTTCCCAAAATTTCCTGCACTATCCTCAGCATGTTCAAATTTAAAATGATTTAAATCAGGACATTAATTATATTTATTCTATTCTGTCAAACAAACAACCAGGAGCAATGACTGACATCAACATTGAGCATGCTCTAGTCCAGGCTTCCTCAACCTTGGCCCTCCAGATGTTTTGAGACTACAATTCCCATCATCCCTGACCACTGGTCCTGCTAGCTAGGGAGTTGTAGGCCAAAAACATCTGGAGGGCCAAGGTTGAAGAAGCCTGCTCTGGTCTATGACTCTTGCAATTTTTCTCCAGGTTGCTGCTGGCAAATACTTAGCTATATATTTATATAATTGTTTATACAGTGGTACCTCGGGTTACATACGCTTCAGGTTACATACGCTTCAGGTTACAGACTCCGCTAACCCAGAAATAGTGCTTCAGGTTAAGAACTTTGCTTCAGGATGAGAACAGAAATCGTGCTCCGGCGGCGCGGCAGCAGCAGGAGGCCCCATTAGCTAAAGTGGTGTTTCAGGTTAAGAACAGTTTCAGGTTAAGTACGGACCTCCGGAACAAATTAAGTACTTAACCCGAGGTACCACTGTATATATATTGCATTTCTAGTTTGTAAATTGATTTCCAGTCTTGCATAATAATAGCTGCCATTAGTTTCAAGGTGCCATAGAATTCTTCCTCTACTGGTGAGCAGGCCACTATTCACAGATGGAGAACAAAGGCTGTGCTGTAGTGACTTGGTGAATGCCACACGATGAGTCCATGGAGGAAGTGAAACTTGAACTCATATCTCATGTATTTCACCAACCCTAATCTTCTACAGTAGGGAGGGGAGGGAGAGAGAAACAGGAGGAAGGAAGGATAGAAACAAGATGAAGGGAGAACTTTCCTCATCTTTCTGATTCCTTCCCAACTCATCCATCCACCTCTTACTAGTTATGGAAAAGTAGCTTGGGCAGGGGGACGGACGGACTTGAAACCACCCAGAGCTCTACCTGAGGTCAAAGCAGAGTTTCCAGTGTCAACATTGGAGTCTAAGTGTTGATGCCCTGTATTGGTCGGCTCTGTCCTCATTTTTGTTATCTGTTGTGTGTAACTCCTAAGCAGACAAGTTATTATTGCAGTAGAATTTCTGAAAAACTCAGCTCTTATCCCTTTTAAATCAAGGTTCTAAGCCCTTAAAACGGTAAAGATAAACCTGGAGATTTGGAGGCACTCTGCAAAATCTTTGATGTCAGAGGAATTTCCTGTACAGTGATACCTCGGGTTACATACGCTTCAGGTTACATACGCTTCAGGTTACAGACTCCGCTAACCCAGAAATAGTGCTTCAGGTTAAGAACTTTGCCTCAGGATGAGAACAGAAATTGTGCTCCAGTGGTGCGGCAGCAGCAGCAGGAGGCCCCATTAGCTAAAGTGGTGCTTCAGGTTAAGAACAGTTTCAGGCTAAGTACGGACCTCCGGAACGAATTAAGTACTTAACCTGAGGTACCACTGTACAGAGGGTTGAGGCTCCAGTGCCCTGCTAAGGATCCTTGCTACTACCAAAACAGAACAAATTAGTCAATATGTGTAACTACATATCTTGTAGTATGTTTAGTATGTGTTCGTGACATGTAAGGAATTGGTAAGTATGTGTTTATGTTGTAGAAAGCAATATTCTGTTCTTCAGAGAAGGTTTGAGCGAGATCCAGAACAGGAAATCAAGTCACGCTGAGGGATTGTGCACCAAAATTTGTTGAAGAGCCATGTGCTTTCTCAAGAAAAACATACTGTACCACAAATGCATACAAAACATCTAGTTGGTTGATAAGCAGACTATGTTTCGTCACCATGCAACCCCCAAACCTCAAAATCAAGAGACAGAATATGCTTATCTCAAATCTAATGAATGAAAGACCAGTGACAAAAATTGCTACTTGTTTATTCATTGAGTTCCTCATGTATCTAGCAATCCGCATAACAGAATGACTCAGAGAGTCTCTTTTGTGTCTTTTCCAGCACCTATGTTAATTACCAACCT